ACCCCCCCGATATTCTACTAAGTGGCATAGTAGAATTATCTTTGCGAAATCCATAGATTAATCCATGATTACCGTACGCCCCCCCGAAGTGATAACTGACCCGTCCTATAGTAGTAGGAGAGACGACCTAAGCTTTAGAACATCCGCCTGCCAAATCTAACCGCCTCTTTCGATATGGTCGTCCGGTTGCTGATCATTAAAAGATCTGTTTGGTCCCGGTGACCAAACCTCCCGTTCTCAATAGATTACCAAGTGAAAGAATATTTATTATTTCGAATGAAAATAAGAATAAAATAATTGCCTTATATGAAGACCCGAATCCTTCCTTGGATATTATTGATAATAATAAAAGTAATCCACAAGTATTCAATAATAATTCAAGAATTAATGTTTCTTTGGATATATATAGTGATGACGTTAAGAAAAACGTATCCAAACTATCTATAGAAATAAGATTAAATAATGATTTTTGGGGATGGATAATAGCATATAGACCCCAAATTCTATTTGGTTTGATTTTGAAATAGAATTATTAGAGCAAGTATCGAATCAAATAAGTTTAGCCATTACTCATGCAGAATTATTAGAAGAGAATATTGTAAAGAAAATTCAGATAAAGGCTGCTGATGCTGCAAATTTTGCTAAAAGTCAAATATTAGCAAATACTTCTCATGGTATGATGTTTTTGTATACAATATATTACTATACTATTTATTATATTAATAGCTAATTTAATTCAATTTTAATTTTATAGAATTACGAACACCACTAGGAGCGATAGTGGGTCTTTTTTCTTCCTTCGAGAGTGCTAATTTAACTTCTGAACAGAGAGACATGGTTGATATTCTTTCACGTGCTTCTGAGATAGTGTTATCTAAAGTGAATGATATTCTTGATGCAGCAAAATTAGAAGCTCATAAAATCACTCTAACTAGCAGAACATTTGATTTATATGAATTAATGGATAATACAATTGAAATATTTGAAAAAGAAGCTGGGGATAAAAAGATTGAAATAATCGTAAATTATGACATGGATGCGTTACCAAAATATGTTAAAAGCGATCCTGATAGGTGATTTAACAATATTCTATCAAATGCAAAAAAAAAATAAGAATTTATTACTTACCTCGTTTCTTACATAGGCTAAAACAAGTTTTATCACATTTATTATCAAATTCGTACGTAATTATAATTGAATTTTTTTTTTTGATTACATAACCCTTCTACTGTATAATAATTGTTTGATTTTTTAGAATTAAATTTACTGAGAAAGGTGAAATTGGGTTAAAAATTTCAATACAATCACAAAAAATCATTGATGAAATTAAAATTAAAGAAAGTACGACTTACAATCAAAAAGCGAATCTGCTAATTGAATTATATGATACTGGTATTGGGTAAGCTAATAATGATTGTATACTTTCTATTGTATCTTAATAAAGATTAAGACATTTAAATAATTTATAATAGTATGAAACCAGAATACATACCTGATTCTTGGACAAGTTTTTCAAAAGGTGACATGTCAATAACTAGGAAGCAAGATGGTACAGGACTTGGTCTTTCAATCTGCAAAAGTCTAGTAGACATTAATGGAGGAGAAATTAAAGCAGAAAGCCAGTTAGGAAAAGGAAGTAAATTTTGGTTTACGTGGAATGTTGCATTATTAGATACACAATTTGATAAACGAATGAGTGATAAATTACCTAATATAAAACAAAAACGAATACTAATAATTCACCCAGTTGAAGGTGCTAGAAATGCTATGTTAAAATTTCTTAAACAAGCCAAAAAAGTTGATGCATTCGATACTTTTGACGAGGGTATCAAAGCAGCAAAAGCATAGAAGGAGTGGAGTGAGCAATCTGCATATGATATAGTATTCATCAGACTTTACGAAAATAACGAAAAAGAGACCATGAAAGTAATATTAGAATTGAGAGAAATGAATGGTAATAATGATTTAGTAATAATCTTTATGGTAATAAAGGAATTGAGTTGGCAAAAAAAGTAATTAAAAATGTTGGAGGAATAACTTCCGTTATTCATACTCCAGTTACATGGAAAAAGTTTATCAATTTATGCATATGCTAAAAAATGATTCTACTGATAAAAATAACAAGAATTTGCACATCAATGGAAACGAAAATCAAGTATCCTAAAGCGAGTAACGAATTATGAAATTATTTAAACTGAAAATATAAAGGTCTGTTTCTCAATATATAAATGTAGAACAATTACTAAGGACAAAGTATATTATTTGTGGTGTGCTTATTCTTGTTACATCTTATATATTTAATTAATCTAACTAGGTGTTTGAAAGTTTTTAAGAACAGATTTTCAGATTACATTAAAATATCTAGAGTTATGCGATTGTCTTATACAACTAGCATTTTGTTTACTTTCTATTTTAAATATATCTAATATGTAATCCTGACATAACGAATAAGTAGAAATAAGAATATTAATAATTGCATCAGAAATCCTATTATATAAAATTTCAAGATACGATAAATTGCTAGCTAATAAATAGGAATGGCTAAAAGAGTAGTACATGGAACGTACGTATATATTCTTAAAATTTATTTTAATGGATTTCTATCTAAAGTAGGTGCGAATGTAGTTGAGTAGGTTAAAATTTATTATCATACTCACGTGTGTAGTATACCGATCATACTTATATGTAGTAAAACTATTGTACCGATAATACTAATATGTTGTTAGAAGCAAAACGTGATCTAGTAAAGGCACGTGAAAAACGTGACAAGCCATGATCCGGACCAAGCTAAGCCTCAAGCCCAAGACCCCAATCGGCATATGACAGAAGCATTAATCAAATGCCATCTTGGGTTTGGCTCAAGGCGAAGCTTTGTTGAAAATCGCATGATGCCTCTGGGATTCAAATGAGGGGGAGTTTGGTTATTGTAACTTGCAGATTTCCTCTCTGATACTTAATTTAGTAATATTGAGTAGAAGCCTCAACTATATTATTATTGTATAAAAAGTCCTATTATTCGCTTTGAATAAAAGCAGTTGTTATATTAATAAAAAATAAAAGGATCATCATTATCCTAAAGTTTTTAAACTGAAGTTTAATGCTGTCTCACACAACATACCTGAAACAAGCCTAATTAAATCTGTCTCTACAATCATTTCAGGTATTGATTGTTGCAGTGTTTTTGGTTAGTTGGTGTTGACCAGTTCTCCTTCCAACAATTTTAGTAATGACTATAAGATATGCAATGCAAAACAGTAGGAAAATAACATTCCTACTTTAATATAAAGAAAGAAAAAAAAATTATAAAGAAATAAAAAAAAGAAAAAAAAGATAAAGAATTAAAAAAAGAAAAAGAAAGGACTAAAGAACTAGGTTATAAAAACAGAAAAAAAGAAACCTCCTGAATGAACATTTGTATTATCTTAGCTGAAGTACTGTACCTAAAGACAGAAAAGAAAAGAATTAATTAGAAAAAAAAAAAAATTAAAAAAATATATTATCACAAAATACCTACTTGAAGACCAAGGCAAAAAAGAACTCAATGAAACCCTGAAGAAAAACTTGGTATTCCTATTACTAAGAAAGAAGCTATACTATTAGTAATTGCTTAGCTATACAAAAATTAGAAAGAAGGTGCAATATACTTCTTGCAATCTTCAACTCAGAGAAAATTGATAAAATCTAAGAAGACATCTATAAAGCTTTTGGAGACCTTGACCTCAATAATATACAACTCCCTGAAGTCCTAGAAATTATATTAGAAGAGTTAGAGAAAATAGTATTAAAAGAAGATAGTATACAAGAAATTGTTTACTTACCTTTGCACTTCTAATTGTTTGCTACTCTAAAAGAAAAGAAAATTCACTACTAGTAGCACCTTCTCTAAAGATTTGTTTAACTAAGCCTTACTAAAAAATATTGAAAACAGTTGCTGAAATCCTTAATGAATACTTGGAGGTTCCAAACATCTAGAAAAAATTAATATCGAAAAACTTTTCTAGAAATTGGCTACAGAATATAATGCTATTATGAAAAAATAATCAATTCAAAAAGAAGAATTCACTAAAATTAGATTTAAAATAAGATGAAATCAAGGCTGAAAAAAATAAACTACTAGTACTTATAAGCTCTCAGCTCTCTAAACTTTGTACCTTAAACAAAAATGAAACTAAGAAAGATATATTAAATGAAGAATAACTCATTTTGAACTAAGACTACATGAGAACCTATGACAAGTGGATGACAAGAGTTAGTGATTTTTGAAAAATAGACCAAAATAACTAAATTGTAATGCTAAAAAAAAAAAAGAAAACCAGTATTTGTATAGCATAATAAAACCTGGATTTGTATTCCTTGTATTTCCTTTATATCGCAGTATTTGGTTTGTGATTCTTTTAACTATTCTTTATTTTTAGGTACAAAGTCAGTTTTTATTTTGGTTTCAATGATCTCTATTACTTTCTTTATTTCAGGAGCTTTATTATTATTTTCTAATTCAATAGAGTATTTTCTTTAGTAAGTATTTCTACATCTAGTTTTTTTTTGTTTCACTGCTTTATAAGTGTTTTGAAGTTCTTTTCTAATTAATATTTTTCTACTTCTGTTATCTAGGCTTCATATATATGATTTAGGGAGCTTTATTTGTCATTTGTAACCTCTTGTTTATCCTTGGGCCTTTCTTTGTTAGATTTCACTTTAGAGGCCTTTTCTTTTTAGGAAGACTACTTTTGTATTACAGTATTAAATCTAAAGATTAGTTCCTGAAGAAGTTTTTTCTTGTTAACCTCTTTCTCTTTAGATACTTTTGCAGGTATTGGGTTTTTCTTTTTTGGAATTTTAGATAGTTAAGTATGAAGAGATAAGTACTTAATTTTTTCTTTTTCATCTCTTTTATTATTTTTGATATTTTTTATTACATTCAATAGATACTTTAGGGCTAGAGGAACTTGTATATCATCAAGATCATCTTCTTCAAAAGTCATAGTATTATACTTTAGACTTCTAGAGCTTGTTCTTTTGTAAGTATTGTGAATAATATAGTGAATTCCTTTTCTAACCTTTCTAGTTGCAAATCAACTCTTTTTGCACTATAGACTATAATATTAGTAACAACTAGGCTTCTTTAAAGCAAATTAGTTTTTATCTTTCTTTTGTTGTTATAATAAGGAGATTTTGACTTTATATACATAGGTTAGGATCTAGAAGTTGTTTAGAAATCTGCAATGAAGGCTTCGAATTTCTTATTCATCTGGTTTAGTTTCTCAGATATTTTCCTTAATTATTTTCTATATTTCTGAGTTGGTTATTTAATCAGGAGAAGGCTTGTGAGTCACAATTGCTTATTTAATCGTTTAGTCTGATCTCATAGTCACCACCAATTGAGAAGGTGTGAACTAGTTCTGATATAGAACTCATCTAGAGGTTCTAGTCATACCTAGGTTTATAGATTAACAAACAAACAAATAACTACAAATCTAATAATTAACTCTAAGTTAGAAAGCTAAAAGAGGTCATAGAGAATTTGGTTTGGGTTTTAGAATTACAAGGTAGATTTCTTTTATTTAAGTGTCATTTGGTTCTTGGCCTTTAATTATTATTCTTTTAGTTTCTTTATACTTTTTCTTTTATTACATAGTACATAATCTGGTTTTCTTTTATAATTAGTTATTGATTCTAATAATAGAAATCTATAAGGAGTAATTGACTTATTATTGGCCTTAAACTGATCTTATTCTGATTATCATGAGGTTTTAACAATAATGATTCTCTTAACAATAGTAAGTTTATAATAAATGAGGAAACAAGATCACAATACTTCTACTCGAATTTCGAAGTATTAGACTTACAAACAACTAACTTATCAAAGTCAGAAACTTGAAAATTATACTTTTCAAAGTTGAACTTGTTTAAGTTGTTTAAGTTGTCCAAGTTGTCTAAGTTACTTTTTATTGAAGACAAAAAGTATTATATTTATACTTTTCATTTTGTTAGTAGATACATTTGAGACTTAATTGATATTGTTGAAATATCAATTAAATCTTTTTTTTTTTTTTTTTTTTTTTTTTTTTATACAAATGCCATCGGCCGAATTTTTTATTAATATTGATAGTGAGTAAATGATACATATTGTGAGAGTATAACTAGCCACACGTACAACTTTAGATTGTCTAATTTAAGTAGTCCGCCTGAAGGTTCTACACTAGCTGCTATACCTGAAATCTATTTGA